CTTAGTATTAAATGACCGAAAACCTGAGTAACTTTCGGCCGGGTGGCCGAAAGTCAAAGTCAATTTCGGCCGAAACCGAAGAAAAACCGAAAGTTAACTTTTCTCTTTCAGCCGAAACCGAAATTAAGCCGAAAGTTAACTTTCCAGTTTCGGCCGAAACCGAAACTTGGCCGAAAGTTATAAAATGGCCACTTTCGGCGCCGAAACCGAAGCCGAAGCCGAAATTCGGTCGGCCTCTAGAATAAAGTTGGCCATATTGCCCACACCGTAAAAAAAATTTTGCTCAGTGTCCTTGACCTTGAAGTTCTCAAGAAAATAAAAATCAACAAAATGTCTTGCTTTCAAGTGCTCATAACATCATTAATTTTTAAAGATACACTTAAAACATATTTCAAAATGTTGTAGCCAATTCATTTATCTTTCATAAAATGTATAGTTTTCTAAGGTTTTGATTGCAATTAAACCCCTTAAAGCAATTTTAGTAATTTTTGGTCATTTTTATAAGAAACTGGGACCACTGCTAAAACCAATTACAAAATGCAAAATCTCAGGCAAAATAGTTATTATTGACTAGTTAACATTTATAAAGAAACTGTGGAACTGATTTGGGTTGTTAAACTATAAAATTTATTAGTTCTGATCTATAATCTGTAGCTTCTTTGACTAAAATTCAGTCAGTCCTTGCCCAACCTCCGGGCCTGGCTCGAAGTCAAACAGTAGCCACAGTAGACCTACTTCAGTATCACTAAGACTAGTGTCAGATTCACGAAAAGAAGAATCTGAAGTGAGATGTCATAGGGAATTATAAAATCATCATCAGTATCATTAAAATCCTCTCCTAAAGAGCTTTCAAAAATATTTCTATTAGTTCTCGCACTGAAGGCCAGGTCATAGCTTCCGCCATTTTTGTTTTAAAAAAAAAAGTGATAAAAAATTCCGATTAAAAAGTACTTATTGTTAAGTTATCAAGAAACAGCTTGACCCGGAAGTTGATTTAATTATTAATAAAAGGAAATGGCTATGATTTCGGTTAAATATTGGATTGGAAGTTGCTATCGAACCGTGTTTTTTATCGGCCAAATTTTTCTGACCCCACAGCACAGAACGAGAATATCTGCCAATTTCGTCGGCCGACCACAGTTGAGGGTTAAAGAGAAATGGCAAATTTCTTGTTACAAGGAGATTATGCAAGAAAACATCAATTTTAAATATAAGGAGTCCAGTAAAACTCTGCCCTTATAAGAGCATCTTCATTAGGGGTGTGCCGGATCCGTTTTTTCCAACCGGATCCGGATCCGGATTTTCTTATGCGAAATCCGCCGGATCCGGATTCCGGTTTCTCCCGGATTCCGGATTTTGGTACTATTGGTAGATACTTCGGTAAGTCAAGGTGGACTACTACTTTTTGTGTATGGGAATTCGCAATCGGCGCCAAAAAATCCGAGTTTTTAATTTTCCGATGTGTGTGTCTATTTATTATTAAATTAGTACTTTCGATATATATTTGAGTTCCGTTCCATTTGGATAAGTGTCTTACGAGAGACGCCATGTTTCTACGCGTTCGCAGCAGGTTATGCAGCTCGCTCAACCTAATTTCGCCATGGGGTTGGCCACGCCCCCCTTTTTAATGGCGGAAGTTGACGATACTTAGGAAATATTAATTTATTATCACTATTTACATCAAAATAATTGATAACTTGTGTTTCAGAATGCATTTAAAGACATTTAAACTGGAATGTTTTAATTTGAGCTTTAACAACCCGGTAGAATCCATATTATAAATGATCAGAATTTACCGTGTGCAACACGTTGTCATTGGCAACCATTCACAGCCACTTGCATAACTGTATCGTAGTACTACCTCAGAGTTTCATTCATAAGAGTTTGCCGTGTGCAAAAACTATTAAACCATTGGTCAGGGAAAGCTTTAATTAATTATTCATGTGCCAAAGTTGAAAGTTTAAACTAAGTCTAAACAGTATTTTAGTGATAAGGCAGGGAATGCGTTGCCTTATATAAACTATATAGTCATTGCGCATGACGGGATTGGTGGAATGAGATCACAGAATGTGGAGATGCAGTCCATGTTAAAAAATGACAAACCAAGTCGTACTTTAAAAATTCATAACTTTAAAACTACAACAGCTAAAAATATGATTTTGGTGTTATAATTCTTTAAAAAATTACATCTTTTCAACTATGCCATTGGTTTATTTTTACAAAAAGTTTAAATTTTCTTATCAAAGTCCCTACACTATTGGCCACTATTAGCGGTGCTGACTCTAGCCTCTGGTATGTACGGAATATTAAACATTAAACAAGCTCAACGCTCGAAACAATCGATTAATGTATCGTGATCGTGTGAAATTCGGGAAAGAGAATTACTTTTATTTCAGATTATGATCCGGTGAGTCACAAAATCTGGCAAATTCCGAAATCCGGTATATTCCGGATTCCGGAATCCGGTTGTTCCGGATACATGTAAATCCGGCGGAACCGGATTTCACCGGATAGTGCAAAATCCGGCGGAACCGGATTCCGGACCGGGGTCCGGCACACCCCTAATCTTCATTGCAACTGAGATATATATATATGCCAGAAAAATGTGAAAGATGTTAATGAAGAAATCAGAGACTTCAAATTAATGTATTCAACTAAAGATTTCTTTGAAATAGTAATTGAATCATCTATGATCTTGCATCAAATATGATCAACAACCATTATTACATAATTAAGATGTCAGAAGTAGGAGTGGAACTGCTGGGCACATCCCACAACAGCCAATTGTTGCCCATCACCCTAGTATGTGTGGGGAAAAAATAAGACCATAAATAAGGCTAAGGCATAATGAACAGTTTGTTTTAGTAGGAAATAAGTAGAAAGTTTTCACAATATCTTGTCATGAAATAATTCTTGTACCCAGTGTTAAGTTTGATGAGATATAGTATTAGGCCTAACCAATTAAGCCGTTATTTGACCTCATAAACAGTCATTTGTCCAAAAAAATGGTGCAGTGCTTCAATGAGGTTTCAAAATCAATTAATAATTAGTCTTCATATTGAGAAAAGGAATAAAGATATCTGAAAAACCCACAGAGGCAAATTACTTAATTGCTCAAATAATTCCAAAACTTACTGTGCACTTACTGCACAGTACGCAACGGAATGCCTACACTCCAATCTCTGACTACACAGTATTGTGCAAGGGCCAAAAGAGTAGACTGAAGGCAGTGTAGTCTTCAGTATTATTATAAGTAGTATAGTAGTAGTAGTCCAAGTAGTCTGACTGACAGAGTGAATTTAGTAAAAAAGTAGTCTATACAAGTTTACAAGTTATGTCTAAGCTTTAGGTCAATTATTTAAGTATAATACCAATAAATTGTCTTGCGTCTTCTTAGGAGATGTAGGCCCTTAAAGATTATTTGATGAATTTTATCTGATCCTTTTTATTCTTAAGTTTTGTTTCTTGTTCTGAATCCAAGGTACTTCACGTTCATCTCGGTGCTCAGCACTCACTGACACCGGAAGTTTCCTTAGTTGAAATTTTAGGTGATTATTAAGATTAATAGCCCTTTTATAATTTCTGATTTTATAGCTTAATATGATTAATAATTCTTCATTGAATCATTTAAATTTACCAGAAATTCATAATTATTGCTAAAGAATGTTAATAATTAAAAATATTATATTGTAATCTACACTTGTAAATACATATTTTACATTTTAATTTTTGTAAGCACTATTAATTTAAATAAAACACAAGTTAAATTTAAATTTTTAATTATTTTTTCAAACGTTAAAATCTTGAAAATGAATAATCCTTGATATTTAAGTTCCATTTATGCTAGTCTGATACTAGTGTTTTGAAAGGATTTATATATATCCTTTTTTAATGCCCCTTAGCCTTAAGTTTTATTACTTGTGTACCCCAGAATGCATTTCTGCCCCCTCAGGCTCAGGTCAGTTACATCTTAGTAGGCCTACACATGGGCGCCCGCAGGTAGGGGCAAGGGGGGGGGTCACTTGCCCCCCCCCCCTTGATTGATTGGATAAAAAAATGTAGACAAAAATAGATCAAACATTTATTAAAGTAAAGAGAAAATAAAGAGAAAGTAACTAAGCTGATGTCCTGTCCGTTCGTTCACCATACAAATACGCTACAGTTAATTTAAAACTATATTAAGTTTAACGTCAGTGCTTGGAAAGCTCACTCGCGTGTAGGGCATGTAAACTGACGTTGAGAACCTTGTAGTTAATTGTTGTATAGATGTAAATTTTAATTTTTTTTAAATTTGCTCTGGGTTTTCTTTGGGCTTGAGTGATAAGTTTACACTCTAAGGAGTTTTCTCTTACCGTGTGATTGCCTGGGTTGGTTTTCAGATCCAAAGCAAGGCTTTCACATGAGTGAGATCAGGTCAGTGGCGTAGCTAGAGTAGCCTAAGTGCTGACCGCGACGTGCCAAGATATTTGCCACCCTCCCATTCGATGAAAAAAAAAAGATAAATAAAAAAAAATAAAAATAAAAATAAACAACTATCTCGTTGGCCGAAAACGTGACCCCTCCATTTAAAGAAAGTGCCACCGTATATAGGCTCTATTTTTACAGCTTACAAGCCATAGGCCTGCATCATAGGCATTATTTATTTACCAAAGGACAACAAACGTGATGATTTAAGGTCCAAAGGAGAAGTGAAGAGATTATGTGCTTTCAATACCATTCAATATGATATTCTAGAATTGATGTTGCCATCAGCAGAAAATTAAACCAATTACTTAAAGAATCTAAAACAAACAACAACAACAACAAAAAGTAAAAGAAAACAACAACAAACAAAAACAAACAAAAAAGTGAACAGAAAGAAAAATCTCGGAGTTTACAAAATACCTCGCAATAAATAGAGTCTTCGTTATTTATTTGACTACAGGAGCTGGTTCTCTTTTGTTATTATCAATGCCGTTACTTTTATGACACAGTGGTAAATCTAGGCTTGCCAAACATATGTCTAAAGAAACTACAATAAATTTATCATAAATGTTCGAATATAAATAATGAATAAGGCCCTATAAATTATAAGTAAAGCGCTCGTGAATTTAATTTTTTTTAAATAATAAAAATCACAATTAATGGGAAATTTATATTTTCCTTGTAGTTAGGTAATGGTATATGAGTATCAGTATATGTCAGGCATCGGAAAATCGCGGCTCGCGAGCCGCATGCTGCTCTTTAGCGACCTGAGTGTGGCTCGGCCAGTCGGCCCCAGTTGGCCCTTGACAGGTTCTTGAAAATAAATTTGGCTCTCAAAAATTGTTTAATCGTTCTGCTGTTGATTTTATTGGCTCTTTCAACTAATGCGTCTGTCAACCACTGGTATTTGCTATATGTTTTGAAAGGAAGGTTAAGTATTTAATTTAGGGAAGACATATTGTGTGACGCGTGATCTCTAGTAAAAATGGGAAGAGGCAGAGCCTGACAGAGGGTGGCATGTGTCGCCAGGCAGGGGGGAGAGGGGGGGGGGTCTTAATACCATTAAACTCGTATCCAGAAATTTGATCGAAAGAAATTTCGTTGACGGAAAATTGATCGACGGAAATTTGATCAGACGGAAATTTGTTCTAATCGGTTTTTTTTAGTTCAAACGTTAAAATTTTGCGTCAAATTTCTTTTCGAACGCATTATTTTTGTTTTACTATAATTATATAGTATCGTGGGTACAAAAAGAAATTTGACAAAAATTTTATCGTGTGAATTGCCTGAATTGGAAAAGATTCGACCAAAATTCCGTTCGATCAAATTTCCGTTGATCAATTTTCCGTCTTCGAAATTTCATTCGATCAAATTTTCGGTAACCCATTTGACTCAGATCTTTTATGACAGAAATAATTTTTGAAGGAACGGTTCGGAACAGCGCCATCTTCTGCAGGATAATATACCGAAGTCAATAATCATGGCTTCCTTATCCAGGTTAGAATTGAATAAATAACGTGGTATCTTTAGTGTATCATTATTTCACTTATCAATAAAGTTATCGATAATATTTTAAAATGCATCAAATATCATTTGTACTATGGCTCTGCAAAATAGAAGGAAAGTTTAGTTATTTAATAATGACCCATTCAATAACAATATCTTCACTTTCAAAAACTTTCACTCAAATCACTCACAGTCACTCTCCTACCCTAAAATTGTCTACTCTTAGTCCTAAGTCTTCAGATAATGAAAGATGAATGGGTATACTTCTGAGAATATTCATATACTATTATCTTAAATATGTGAAGTATATATGGAAGTAACCAGCTAAAAACTGAGTTTCACACTAAAAATGTTTGGACACTTTGAACCTTTTATAGTTAAATGTTAAATTTTATAGTTTTATTAATTTGTTTTTCTTCTTCCTTTTAACTGGAAATACTGGAAACTTAATTTTAGAGCCCAGCAAGGCTGAGACTAAGACTTACTTAGACTCCTATACCTTAAAATCATAAATTCATAAATGAAATCATGCGTCTAGGGTGGGGGGGGGGGGCAAGGAATGTGACAGTGACATCACATTAATAGCGGAAAATTCTGGTTTTTAAAAAATGCACTAAACAAACACTAAATTACAGAAATTTTTAACAATGTTCTCTGATAAAATTGCTATTTTATTTTTAAACTACGATCACTAAGAGAATCAGTACATGTATGCAAGGTCCGAAAAATTGCCTCTGATCACGTTGCAGGCTGCCACAGAGGAGGAAAATATGGGTGTAGCGACAATGTCAGTCAGTCATGAAAATTTATGTCAAATTATGGAAACGGGAGTCATAGAATTAGGACTAACATGTGACATGGGATGGAACGAAAAAAGATGGTTTTCCCGGGGGGGGGGGAGGGGGGTCTTAGTAAATGCTAGGGGAGAGATTCTTAGCCTTTTTGCAGCCCCAATTTATTTTAAACATTTCCCCCACCCAAAAAATATATAAATTATATCGTAATAAAATTTTAAATATGAAAATAATTAAATAATTTAGCTATCAGTTATCATAGTTTTATTCTTTACTTAACTTTCTATAAACTAGCTTCATCTATTTTAGCTATAAAAAACGTCGATATAAAACTCTGATTAAAAAGTACTTATTGTTAAGCTATCCACAAACAGCTTGAACCGGAAGATGATTTAATTGTTAATAAAAGGGAGTGGCTATAATTCCGGTTAAATATTGGATTGGAAGTTGCTATCTGATTGTGTTTTTAATTGGCAGACCACAGTTCGTGGGTTAAAAAATGCAGATACTATTAATTTATTAGCATATATTTAATTGGCTTTACACTACCATTAGTTTTTTCCATTCTTTAGTAGTCTTTTCTAAATAATCTTTCTCTGGAATAGTTTATACATTTTGAAATTGAAATCAATAAAAGCAATCACTACAACTACATAAATAACTTAAAATTTTAATTAAAAGTCCACTTCAAATGAGACATTTTCTTTTCTTTAAATAGTATTTTACCAGCACCTGTGCAGCGGTTTGACAGAGATGATGAAGAGCGCATCTTCAGATCACAGATGCAGGTTTGTAATATGTTATGGTTATCTTGTAAAAGTCTTGCCCATTGCACAATGTTCATGTTGCCTATCTCTCAATCTAAGTATAGAACTGAGCAGGCAACATTCACCCCACTAAAATGTTTAATGTGACCAGCAAGAACTTCCAGGAACTGGATTAATGTTTTGAACAAGTAGCCTTGAAAGCTTTTGAACTTTATAATTACAGTGTAAAATGATTAAACTGTAATACCAATAATAAAAGTACCTGTAAATTAAATAAAATTATTCAACTGCTTATTTTCTAATTCAGCGGTTCTCAACCTGTGGGTCGCGACCCCTTTGGGGGTCGCGCAACTCTTTCCAGGGGTCGCCTAAGACCATCTGAAAACATATATCCTTACAGCTATGAAGAAGCAACGAAAATAATTGTGTGGCTGGGGGTCGCCACGACAAGAGAAACTGTATTAAAGGGTTGTGGCACTAGGAAGGTTGAGAACCACTGTTCTAATTGAACGTCTGAGTGAATTTTAGATTTCAATGACTTTTACTAAACAAATATCATTAAAAAAATCATGCAGCACACCAAAAATAAATAAGTTTCAATGCAGCCCTCTGCACAAAAAGGGTTCCCACTCCTGGTAAAGAAGGGTTAATTTTGTCTGTAGGCCATTCCCAGCCATGGGTAAATAACTTGGTGGAATTAATATTTTTTGCCCAGAAAGGCAGTTGTGTAAAAAAGACTAGCTCATCCATGGAATTCAGAGAATGGCAGCCAACTTTCTTAAAAGATAATCGTCTGTCTTTGCAAAAGTAACTGTAATCTTACCAATTACAGTCTTACAGCTGCCAGAACAACAATATGGATCATAAAAAAATTATATCTTCTAGAAATATTGTGCCAATTTATTTTCTTTCAAAAACAAAATGAGCATTTAAATGCATTGATTTTTAATTTCAATATAAAACTAACAGATTTGAAAAAATATGCATAATAATTTCCACCAAACGTTAAAAATTTTAATGTTATGTAAATCCCTGATAAATATTACATTTTTCAGGTAATAAGTTGAAATATTATTCATCCTGCTATTTTAAAGCTTTGCTGTACTCCAATTACTACAGACCTATAAGGCAAGGCTGCTTGTTTAAAGTTTTATTCTCTCTTAAGCTCAGAAATAGCTCAACACCACACCGGCTTTTTAAAATTTGTATGTATGTAATTTGGTTTCATGGTCTTTATATATTTTCTTAGTTTCATCTATGCAACTGAATTAAGTATTGTATATGCACAGTTTCAGTTACATGTCTTTGTCTTTGGAATATATTTTTAGGTTGTGTCTGTGACAAGTAATCGTACAGCTCCTCCTTATGGTCACAGAAAAGGATGGATTCCAAGAACTCAAGAGGTAATTTCAAATATTTTTGGGTTTCTCTTTTACATATAAACTTTAGCAGTCATGTTGTATGGAAGTTAGATTGCAAGGTGCCCTAAACGAACACGCACTAAATTATATGGTGAACGATCTTTCTCTTTCTGCGCCCCCAAACAATGGAATTCTTTGCCACTACACATCCGCAATATAACAACCACACAGGCCTTCAAAACTGCACTCAAAACACATCTATTTAAACTATACTACTCTGACTGATTCTCCTCCTATAAACCGATAAACGTACATGGGTTTCCTTGTAAAAATGTCTGGTGTGGGTGGATGAATATACCTATGGTGTTGTTTTGCTTATATGTTGTTTTTATTTCATTTATGTATTTTATTTTAATATTATGATTATGCCTCTTTGCTATATATGTACAGCGCGGTGAGCCCAGCCCTAGGCCGGGGTACCGCGCTATATAAGACCACTTATTATTATTATTATTATTACATACTACAGCAACAATGAGCAACAGGGGAAAACAGTTGCAGCAGGAAGTAGCTTGTGGGAATTTGAGAGGGCACTAAGTAAGCGATGGCAGAGGCTGTAATGGGTTGAAACACACTTTGCTTGATGCCTAACATTCATTTTATTTTTTAAGATATTATAAAATTTAACAAAAATATTGTTCAAAAGGACACTAGAAACTATTAGTTTATGTCACTATTTAGCTAACAAACTTCTTTTGAAAGCTCAGCTGTGCACCATTTTACTAAAAGATGTGCCAATGAAAACACTTCAACACTTCATCCTTCCTATACACAAGCATTTTATATTTACCTTTTGCAGGTTATAGATTAGCTGGATAAGAAAATTAATTTCATTTGTGTAAATTTTTTTAATGAAATACAAATATGTGCCTACAAATTTCAAAATTGAGAAAAAACAAGTACACAATACTTATTAGCTTAATTTAAGGTTTAAGTGTTGAGTAAAACGGTGCATGTTACTGGCATTTATGCTAGGGGTGTGCCGGATCCGTTTTTTCCAACCGGATCCGGATTTTCTTATGCGAAATCCGCCGGATCCGGATTCCGGTTTCTCCCGGATTTTGGTACTATTGGTAGATACTTCGGTAAGTCAAGGTGGACTACTACTTTTTGTGTATGGGAATTCGCAATCGGCGCCAAAAAATCCGAGTTTTTAATTTTCCGATGTGTGTGTCTATTTATTATTAAATTAGTACTTTCGATATATATTTGAGTTCCGTTCCATTTGGATAAGTGTCTTACGAGAGACGCCATGTTTCTACGCGTTCGCAGCAGGTTATGCAGCTCGCTCAACCTAATTTCGCCATGGGGTTGGCCACGCCCCCCTTTTTAATGGCGGAAGTTGACGATACTTAGGAAATATTAATTTATTATCACTATTTACATCAAAATAATTGATAACTTGTGTTTCAGAATGCATTTAAAGACATTTAAACTGGAATGTTTTAATTTGAGCTTTAACAACCCGGTAGAATCCATATTATAAATGATCAGAATTTACCGTGTGCAACACGTTGTCATTGGCAACCATTCACAGCCACTTGCATAACTGTATCGTAGTACTACCTCAGAGTTTCATTCATAAGAGTTTGCCGTGTGCAAAAACTATTAAACCATTGGTCAGGGAAAGCTTTAATTAATTATTCATGTGCCAAAGTTGAAAGTTTAAACTAAGTCTAAACAGTATTTTAGTGATAAGGCAGGGAATGCGTTGCCTTATATAAACTATATAGTCATTGCGCATGACGGGATTGGTGGAATGAGATCACAGAATGTGGAGATGCAGTCCATGTTAAAAAATGACAAACCAAGTCGTACTTTAAAAATTCATAACTTTAAAACTACAACAGCTAAAAATATGATTTTGGTGTTATAATTCTTTAAAAAATTACATCTTTTCAACTATGCCATTGGTTTATTTTTACAAAAAGTTTAAATTTTCTTATCAAAGTCCCTACACTATTGGCCACTATTAGCGGTGCTGACTCTAGCCTCTGGTATGTACGGAATATTAAACATTAAACAAGCTCAACGCTCGAAACAATCGATTAATGTATCGTGATCGTGTGAAATTCGGGAAAGAGAATTACTTTTATTTCAGATTATGATCCGGTGAGTCACAAAATCTGGCAAATTCCGAAATCCGGTATATTCCGGAATCCGGAATCCGGTTGTTCCGGATACATGTAAATCCGGCGGAACCGGATTTCACCGGATAGTGCAAAATCCGGCGGAACCGGATTCCGGACCGGGGTCCGGCACACCCCTAATTTATGCCTGCATTTATCAAATATTTGTTCCAAATACTAGACTAGAAACTTGTGTGGTCAGCAGGATATGCCCCTTCCGAAATGTGTCGTATTGGTAACATAAGTATCCTGCTTTTTTTTTTCCACTGTCATTTGAAACTTTTCTTTTAACATTTCTTCACATATGTTTTTTCAGAAAACTTGTACAATTTTTTGTTTCATTAACCATTTAGGATTTTGGCGATGGAGGGGCTTATCCAGAAATTCCAATAGCACAATACCCACTAGGGATGGGCAAGAAACAGACATCCTCTAATGCACTTGCAGTTCAATTGGATGCTGAGGGAAAGATAAAGTATGATGCTATTGCAAGACAGGGACATGGAAAAGACAAAGTAAGCACAACTTTTTTCAACCACTCTGAAGCCCCTGGTCTGCAATGCAGAAAGTTTTCAGATGTGCTAATTTATAATTTTCTCACATCTACTTCTATAAAAAACTATATCCACAAATAGCATTTAGTAAGATCCCCTTTTTCCTTGAAGGTTGAAACATAAGGTTATAAGACAGTAAATTCAATAACTTTGTCAAGAACAGACCATATTTATTAACTTGAGTTAAATACAATACAGGAATCTGTATTACTAGAGCTAGAATAATTAAGTTACCAAAATTTTGTACAAAGAAAAGTTGTTAAAACAAACTTATACTTGAACAACATTCCTTCTTAAAAATTAATTTTGTATACATTTGAGGATACAAAAGATGAATTATCATTAATTACAAAGCTGACAAAGCTGCTATTCATTGGTGTAAAAAAAAAAAAAACTATTTTGTTGTAAAGTTTAAGTGTTGTGTTTACCATGTAGAAGAAATAAACATTTTGGAATGATCGCACAGGGAATCGGAGAGTATTCATTAATTTTTCTTCATGCTTTTTTTATATAGATGCCCATTGGCGCTGTGTGGATATAAAGTGTTAAGCAATCACTCGGGAGTAATGATCATTAACTCATTCCCTACAATAGCGAGTAGATGCGTCTTTCGGGGGGGAGGGGGTTCCGCCAAATGCGTCATGGCGTATAGCAATACATTTCTCTCATTTGTATTTAATGCTCGTTACTAATTTGCCATTAATGTTATATTTTTATTAAACCTTATTCATTCTGGATGCATTCATTCTTAATTACTTGATATTTATTAATATTTAGAAGCTTAAAAACATAATTTATAAAATGGAAATCAATTGCAAAATCAAGTTATTTCCCTTTCTCTGGAATATTAATTAAGCGTGGAAGTAGCACTGCTGCCAAGAATGAGTAACAATTATTTTTCTCAAAGGTCCATTCAGTGTGCATAATTAAAAAGACTTGAAAGTACTGAGATTAAGAAAGTATGAGCATTTAAAATTTAATAATATTAAGCATAACCATATTAAAAACTAAAAAATTCGGTCAAACAATAAAGATTTTCGAAACTTCATAATTATTAACAATATAGAAACGCTCTAGATTATTTTAAAAAAAAATTTTAAACTGAATGTTACATACCACTATTAGGTTAAACAAATTTAATCTGCAGTTTTAAAGTTTTGTCTCAATAGATGAACAATAATTATAAAGGAATGAAAACCAGCATACAAAGAAACATTATACCAAAGCTAAAAATATTCAATTTAATTCTACTATTAAGTTAATATAATTGTTAAAAATAAAGAATAAAAACTATGTTAACTTACAACACAGCAAGTTAAAAAGTATAATACTAGACTGGTACAAATATTAACCCACACAAACAGTGAAAAAATCTAGTAAGTCTTGTAAGTGTAAGGTTCTTGTATGTCTGACTTGAGTAAATAAATCTCATGTCTACGAAATCTAGTACTGCTGGAAAAGCTGCTGGCTTATTTATAGGGAGGGATTTAAAAACCTCCTTCTCTACCACCATTTAGAATATCTTTGACCGTAAACAACCTTTTCCCAATTAAGGGAGGGGTAGTGATAGAGGACTTCACATTAAATCGGTGACATCAATATCAGAACAAAGAGGGGATAAGTGGTGGTTGAAACATCTCTACATTGAACCAAAAGTGGGTCATCATAACATGAATTAATTGTGATATTCGCTGATATAGAATAATACAGTTGTGAAGTGTGAAAGAAATATTGCAAACGACAAGTTGCAGCTTGAATACAATGAATATTTTGTTTTGTTATTCATATATATATATATATATATATATATGTATATATCATGTCTGGCGTTGGCAAAGTGTTTTGAGGAAAATTTGCTTTTTTTTTAAAAAAAAATTCTTTTAAATTATTAATGGTTGGTGTTGTGATATCTTAATATCTGAACGGACTTATCCAATGCTTTTTAACCTTAATAAAAAAAAAAAAAGTAAATTTGCTGAAAAATATTTGAGATACCAGTACACTCTTCCACTTGTTACTCACACATGCACCTTTATTATATGCTGATAGAATGTTCGTTGGTCTACAGCTTTATACCAGTACGGTAAGCATTTTATTGTGAGAAATAGATTACTTGACTGTAGGCTTTTTTTTTGCAGCCATGTTTTCATTTAAATTTAATTGTTTAGGTGATACATTCACGACCACAAGATCTACTCCCCAAACCAATAGAAGATGATGACCCATCGTTACAAAAGCCTAATGAAGAAGTCATTGAAGAAACTACAGAAAAAACTAGGCTTGCCTTGGAAAAGTTAGTTTCAGGAAAAATCAGCGCAGCCATGCCTGTTCGTCATGCAGAAAAGCAAGCTCCAGCTCAATATATAAGGTAAGTCTTATACAGGAGAGGCCTTTTATAATTCACCAAAATGCTTTCTGCTCTGTAAGTATTTACAATTTACAGATTTAAAATATATATTCATTGAGAGCCTTTTCCTTCTTGGAGTAAGGAAAATGAATAGTCTGGTGCAACCCATTAGTGAACATTAACGTTGCTTACTCCAATGAAGGCTCTTAATTCGTTTTGGCTAAATTGAATTAATTTTTAAAGTTTGCTGTTCTGAAGTTAATATTTTTGTGACTACCCAAAAACATTTAAGATATTAGTAGCATGCTAAAAAATAACTGATATCTAAAAGTTTGACTTTCACCAACTACAGTCATGCTTACCCTGGACGTAAACTAGCTCTCCATCTCCAGTTTGTAAACCAAAAAAAACAACAACAAAAACCATGCAAAGTCATTTTTGCAGTAGTTAAAATTTAATTAAATACCTGGTATTAAAATGAATGGAATTTTATAATCATGATAAAAAAATGGTATTAACTTTTAATTATAATATAGTTGACTATCGGTTGTTTTCACAAGTTCACCGGCCATCACTGTGGTCACTGTTGCTAATTCTTATCTACTGATGTAAGATTATTGATTTTTAAGTCAGTTTCAGATATAAATTCAACTTTAACTTCATCACTATTATTTTCTACATTAATTTCAATAAAGTCTAGGTGTTGATCTTTTGGATTGTTTTATCATCTAAACCTGCTAGTCTTGTAAACTTAGCTTGCTGTCCCATATGAGCTTGGAAAGACACATTAAACTTTGAACTCCCATAACTTTCAAACAAGAGAAGATAAAAACTTACACATTTTTTTTTCTTTTTTAACCCATGAACTGTGGCATGCATCATTCTGTGGTGTGGAGCTTTTCAGAGGGTTTTGAGTGACATTTGAAATTGCATTAAATGACATAGAAATATTGGTACAAGACCCCAATAAGTATATATTTTTAGAAACGTAAATGGATGGGAATAAAGTTGGCCATATTGCCCACACCGTAAAAAAAATTTGCTCAGTGTCCTTGACCTTGACGTTCTCAAGAAAATAAAAATCAACAAAATGTCTTGCTTTCAAGTGCTCATAACATCATTAATTTTTAAAGATACACTTAAAACATATTTCAAAATGTTGTAGCCAATTCATTTATCTTTCATAAAATGTATAGTTTTCTAAGGTTTTGATTGCAATTAAACCCCTTAAAGCAATTTTAGTAATTTTTGGTCATTTTTATAAGAAACTGGGACCACTGCTAAAACCAAGTACAAAATACAAAATCTCAGGCAAAATAGTTATTATTGACTAGTAAACATTTATAAAGGAACTGTGGAACTGATTTGGGTTGTTTAACTATAAAATTTATTAGTTCTGAACTATAATCTGTAACTTCTTTGACTAAAATTCAGTCAGTCCTTGCACAACCTCCGGGCCTGGCTCGATGTCTAACAGTAGCCTCAGTAGGCCCACTTCAGTATCACTAAGACTAAAATTCACGAGAAGAATAATCTCAACTGATATCATCATGGGGAATGTTAAAATCACCATCAGTATCACTTAAAACCTCCCCTAAAAAGCTTTCAACATATTTCTATTAGTTCTTGCCCTGAAGACCCAGCCATGGCTTCAACCATTTTAGCTTTAAAAAAAACAGTGATATAAAACTCTGATTAAAAAGTATTTCTTTTTAAGTTATTCTTTTTAAGTTAATCAAGAAACAGCTTGAATCAGAAGATGATTTAATTATTAATAAAAGGAAGTGGCTATAATTACGGTTAAATATTGGATTGGAAGTTGCTATCGGACTGTGTTTCTTATCTGACGATTTTTTCGGCCGACCGCAGTTCGTTGGTTAAAGAGACTCAGTAAATTTTAGAATTTGAATGTATAATTTCATTGCTATGTGGCCCAAATAAGTGTCATTTGTCAACTGCCTGATATGCCACGGGTCTGCGTTGTAGGAAGGTGCTAGTGGGAATATCAGATGCGAAATAGGGCGCTAATGGCAGTGAGGGTTAATTTGGTATTTTAAAAATATATTTGTGAAAATCAGGTACACACCCTCACAGCAAGGAGTTGCTTTCAATTCTGGTGCTAAACAGAGAATTATTCGAATGGTGGAAACCCAAAAGGATCCCATGGAACCTCCAAGATTTAAGTAAGTAATTTTCAAATAAAAATTTAAACATTATTTGACATTCTGGATTATCTGAAAATACTAAAAATAATTTGCTGACTTAAATCAAGTCATCACATTTAGGGACGTTATTAATTGTTAGATCAGACATTTGGGCTTAGTTGAGTACAATGTTTGATTACATAGTGTTTTGGTGTTAAAGTTAATTAATAATCATTATGATGTCATCCTCTTTTTCTAGTTGGATTATTCTACATTTTTAGTTATATTATCCTCCCTCAGTCTCATTCAGGTCAGGTAATAGGTACTCTTAAATAAAGAACATTAAGTTAAAAAAAACATAGTTAAATTTTAAAATATGACTCTATCTCCATATCCCGTTATGAACATTACATTTTTTTTCAATTTGGTTTTAATAACTTTCCCAAAATTCAATAGGGTGAATAAGAAAATTCCTAGAGGACCTCCTTCACCACCTGCACCAGTCATGCATTCTCCAAACAGGAAGGTAAAATTTAATTATTTCTTTTAAATTGGCATTTAAACAAATAATGACCTACATAATTGCTACGATTTTAAAATAAGTATTTAACTTCTATTTAAGAATTACTTATGATAAAAAAAGTTTAATAAGTGTTGAATTTAATTTTTTAACCCCATAGCCATAACTAGTATAACTGTCAAGTGCATTTTTCTGTGTTGTCAAGCCATTTTTAACATTTTCATATGCTTCTCAAAAATGACAATTCAATAATTAATTCATTCGGAGACCCCTCTTAGTATACATTTTCTGAAAGTAAATTGTACAAGGTATCTTATGGTATGAAAGAATTTGTTTTTATATTATGTATCTTTATTTTGAACTTGACCCACAACTTCTGAATACAACCCCACCTAATGCAGGTAGTCCATAAATTGTTCAAACTATCATAAAATCAGGTTTTTGAGATACTAGAAGTTTTAGCTACTTACTTATATTGAAACTTGTAATATTGGTAAATTTTTTCATTCACTCCCTTCAAATTTCTGTGATATAAAATACAAGGGGGAAGGGACATAGAGTTCTTAAATTCCTTTTCAAATAAAGTTAGTAAAACCATTTTTTATTAAATTATATAATTAATGCTCCAGAACATACACAAACATAAATGTCTTTGAATCTCTTTAAAGTAGGTCTTTGGGATCCAATCTTTGTCTTTCTGTTTGATTTCTATCATTTCCCAAATTAATTTGTCCGTAACAATATGACGTTTAGGTTTAAAATTGTCAATATCTGACTCTTATGTCCGTATCAATATGACTAAGTTTAGGTTTAAAATTGTCTATCTGACTCTAATGTCGGATTGTCGACATCACTGCTAGCTCGTGAAATATCTCTAAAATCATTGCTTTCATTTTAATCCATTTGAAATAATTCCAATAACAAAAGTCTTTGTTGTTGATTTTGATATTTAGAGGGGGATACACCAGCATCAGACACCATGGCTGTTATGTAGCACACTTTCCTTGTTCCACTCTGGTTGACCCCACATGAGACGGTGGTCGCAATGGGCGTGGCTTAGTCTTTTGATCTGTCGTGTTTATGCCGACAGCAACTAAAAATAATTAATTTGTTCTTAGTGGTGTTTTGTCGAATGTTCGCGATTGTATTAGAAAATTAAGTGTTTCTGGATGCGTCGGTAGAAGCGACTATAAAAGCAAAGAGAGCAATAGAATTGATAGACAGATTCAGATAGATATTTGTAACTTTACGAGACGTGTATTATGCTTTGTGTTCTTATATATGTGTTTATTTGCATTTCGTCATTGTGCATTATTAATAGGCACATTGTACTGTGTACCAGTACAAGATCTACCATACTCTGCAAGTTGATCATTTGTAATTATATTTCTTTTGTTTTATAATTGTATTATTACTAAATTAAATTTTATTAATTGTAATTGGTACTGTTTTCGGTGTCGTATTTTTATTATTGTATTTCTCTATGGTATCGTCCTTTGTTAGGCACTGTTTGAACGACCCATAACATAAAACAAGAGATTAATTTCTCACAATAGAAGTCAGTGCGTAACAATGGGGGTAAAAAAAATTGAGCAAATTTTACATGAAACGCACAAAAAAACCTGATAAAAGCATGCTAATACTAATACTCAATGACGTAAATAGGAAGCAAACTCAGTTATATAGAGTGGTTTCCCCTTAACCAATAAACATTAAATTATTCTCATTTTAAATGCCCATTTCGCTAGCAGACACTTATGTCGATATCGGCTGTGACACCACAGAAAAGGTGTAACGGCAGATAATCAGCTGTTATGACAGTTACAAGGTTAAAAAGTTAGATTAATTTTGCAAATTGTTGTCACATCTGCATTCCTACACAATTTTAATTTTTAAAAATTATTTTTCGCAGTTATTTTATAATTATAACATTTATAACAGGTTTCTGTGAAAGAACAACAGGATTGGAAGATACCACCTTGCATCTCAAACTGGAAAAACAACAGAGTATGTTAAAAAAAAAAAATTTCCATTAAAATTTTTTAATAAAATTTATTGTATTACCATCAAAAGCTAATAAATCCTAAAAGATCCACACAAAAAAAAATTTACTTAATTATAAATCATTTGGTACAAAAAATATTGTGATTCTTTTCCCTTGAATTATATATTTCATATTATTGATTTGAGAGTGTGGAATTTCATTTAGAATTTTTTTTTTTAAATTATTTTTCTTCCACTTAAAATGTTTTTAAATTTAAAAAACCTGTAAACCTCATTGCTCTTCATTGTAATTTATTAAAGCCTCATTTTCATCTGTCAGGGTTACACAATTCCTCTTGACAAGCGTTTAGCAGCTGATGGAAGAGGTCTCCAAGGTGTTCATATTAATGAGAATTTTGCCAAATTAGCAGAAGCCTTGTACATAGCTGACAGAAAAGTATGTTTTAATTTTTTAACGGCCAATGTACCTGAAGTTTATATGTCCTAATATAAATGTTGGTCATTCAGGGGGGTATTTATGTATTAATATAAATTTTTTTTTTGTTGTAAAGGATGCATAAATTGCCAAAGCCCAAAAAGTCTTAAAAGGGGTGTCATAAATAGTTAATAAAATAACAGTTAAATATTTCTTCATTGAACAGAAAGGTTATTCTATTCCTTATAAAATAACAGTTGAATATTTCTTCATTGAACAGAAAGGTTATTCTATTCTTTAACAAATGTTTCACCAAACTATTAAAAACATTATACCATAAGCTTACATTTTAAATGAAACTCTTAATTTACTAGAGTTGAATTAAAGAATATGTTTTTCATCCCTAAAGGCCAGAGAAGCTGTGGAAATGCGTGTTAATCTAGAAAAAAATAAAGTAAAGACTATCAAGGAGAAAAAGGAACAAAATCTTCGACAGTTGGCCCAGAAGGCCAGGGAAGAAAGGGCAGGAATTCGCAGGGAAGAACCAGGAGGTAAATATATTAACAAAGGATTATTAGAACATTTTAAACACTCTCACAAGTTTATAGCTGTAATTTTGTCATTATTTATACACCTATACAAAATAGTAACTGCACAAGTCACTGAAATCTGTGGATTCGTCTAAAAGCCATGTAAATTTTATATTTCTAATGTTTTCATTTTCATGTCTTGAATACTTCTTCCCATTGTATTAAATGCCAAAGGGATTTTAATAAATTCTTTCTCAAATTTGAATAGCAACATTTTTTTAACAATCGCACCGCTGGATTCTTTTATACTGTGGTTTTGGTTATAATTTGTGGATCATTGTTTTTAGCAATTACTTGAACAATCAAGTAACTTGCCTCTCAAGCTTTCCCCGATGTCTTCTTCTGTCCGTTTCTAACATAAAGACATCGCGGGGAGGCGAAGTTGACAATTTAGTGCAAGATGTGATGCTTGTTGATAATCCATGTCGTGAACTTTGAGGGCGGCGTTAACACTTAATTTACAAATGACATCCATCAGGGACTATCAAGTTTAACTGATTGGCGACTGTTTAACATAGCAACAAGAAAAATTCATGAATAATCTCCCACTAGTGGCGCATGCATTCTAACATGTTTAATTTCATCCCAAATTGATAAATCACAACTTTTAAATGAAAATAGCTTATCTAAAGTCCAGTTTTTTTTAATTTTCTTTTTACACCAATCGATAGTAATTTTGTCAAAAATGGCCTCTGATGAATTTGATAGCAATTTGATTTAATTATAGTTATTTCATTTGTTAATTATGCTAGCTGTAGTAATACAGATTCCTGTACTGATATTTAAATTAACAAAGTTAAATCAATATCATCCATCTTGACAAAGTTATTTAATATGGAAATGAGCGAAATAAAGTATGGGAAAACCTGAAAAAAAGAGCACAACAAAACAATGAACATGTCGGCAAGAAGCCTTCATCAGCGAACAAACAACAGTAATAAAAGAATTAAATAAAAATAACACTTACCTGAAATGTAGTATCTGAGAGGACAGCACATTCCTCTTGCTGTCCTCTCGGATACTACATTTGATGAAGATTTCTTGCCATTTTTCTAACCTTCTTTTTCCCCGTACCGGGGAGAAAGGTGGAGTGAATAAAAGTTGTTTTTTTTTTTTACTCTATGCGCTTTGTGGATATAAAATGTTAACACAGTCGACCCCCTGCGTGGTCTTCCTTTGGCTCTAAAACTGGAGTGCATGCTATTATAGGCTTGCATGTAGTTCCATGCAGGTTGATAAGCATTGTTACCTAATGACCAAACCAATTAATTTGCTGTTGGGCTGTATACTTGCTGATTGGTGTGGCATCAACCATTTATCTTATTTCCTGCTTCTGAATGTGGTCCCTTCCCTCTGTTTTCTCTGCTGTCTTTTTGGGCATAGCCCGGTGGTTTCTGAAATGTGGCAGTGGTGCCCTAGGAGCCATGAAATATTACAAGATTTAATAATTTTATTTTGACATTCAATCTAATGACAGGACACGACATCTAGCAGACCTGATGCAAACCATTTACTCACTTTTATTTTAGTAATTGTATGCAGAAGCTCCTACAATGGGTTCCTAGATGGCACTCATTGACCTACATGTGTTTTATTCATTTTAAGTTTTTTACCTAACCCTTTAATTTAAAAAATGTTTTGAAGGGTAATTACTACAATTTGACATAGGGTTCATGTGTAAAACCTAAATTCCACCAAGTATAAAAAAAATGTTTGACCTGGTGTAGCCAAACAAAATAAGTACATTACTTACAAGGAAACATATACATGTGAACAGTGGAATAAATATTACTGTTAATAGTGCGCTATTTAGTGAGGTCACTTTAAAAAAAACAACATTAAGCTATAGTCTGATGGAAATAATTGATTGTTGTGTTATTTTTATTCTATTTATAGTCATGAAAAATAATTAGAATTCATGGATTTCACAGATTTATAGGGTTATGGCTTTATTAGAAATATAAATAAATAGACTATTTATGGACTGTCAGAATTTCAGGATAATTATTGCAAAATTTATGCATTAATGTACACATTTACATATTTTCTGCTGAGACCACACACCCAGCCATTAACACCCATACACAATATATCCAAAATAAACAACCTCCCCTCCCCTAAATGCATATGTAAAAAATGGATGGGCCATAATGTAAAAATCTGATCTTAGATCTGTCCAAGAAATTGATAGGTTAAAAATCCACCTAACCTAACAAGGAAAGTTTAATCAACATTAGAAACCAAAAAGGTGTCTTATCTTTTTAATTTATTCAACTGCAGTGTTCTCACTGTGTCTATTAACCTGAGCAGTCTTGTGCCAACAATCATAAATCTTGGTTGAACAACTTTGGAAGAGAAAAAAAACTTACATTGCATCGACTAGAATGACCCTAATTCCATTTTGCCCCTCCAACATGGCCTGTTGGAAGTCAGAATAAAACACTTACGCTTAAGCTTCAGAAACAATAATAAAAGAAAATGCAAACTCAGGAGTGATGCTGGCTAGGCAGACAGCCCTCAGTTAGAGAAGCATTCTATTTTGCCCTAGTTTACTTATTGAATCTTAAATTGCTAGCTCAAATTTTGAAAAAAAATTGTCCTGTTACCCTTTTGTAACAAAAATTAGTCATAAATACTGGAAATATTTTAAGGTTTAATTCAATAAATATATAGTTGTGTTAAAAAAAGCCAAATTTGAGATTATTTGAATATGGTACTAATTATTTTTTTAAATATTCTATTCAAATAATTTCTAATAGAGAAAGATGAAGCTGCAGCTGACAGAGATGACCTTAGAAAAGACCGAGCTAAAGAGAGACAAAGAGAAAGAAATATTGCAAGAGCTGCACCAGACAAAAGGTACACACAAAAATCTAGTGATTGGCAATTTTTATAGTACTCTTTTAGTCATTTTAGTTCACAATGACTAGTAAATAAATATTTAATAATTTATACTTAAAACCTTGTGGTGAAGAAAATAAAATAATTCACTACCATACATAATAAAATATGTTGTTACCGGGTAATCATTTTTTTTATTCTCAAGCATTAAACCCATTTACTTATTTGATTTAAAAAAGTAATGTAAATCCTGGTGTAGAATAACTTATTATTGGCATTCTCGAATTAGAGTAAAATGAATCAATATATTCTCAGAAATCGTCTTCAAAGAGACAAGGAAAGAGACATCAGTGAAAAGATTGCTCTTGGTATGCCCAACACTGGGGCTGGTGGCAGTAAAGAGACTCAGTTCGACCAGAGACTCTTTAATCAGTCCAAAGTAAGTCAATTTCTTTTAAAATTCAAAATTTAAATTGTCATGCTCATAATCTGAAAAAAAAGTTACATTGATGTTATTCATGACAATATTTCAATAGTTTTTAAATTTTTGGAAAAACTTAAAATACACAATTACTTTATTCCAGGGCATGGACAGTGGTTTTGGTGATGATGAGGCATATAATGTCTATGATAAGCCGTGGCGTGAGGAGGGTACTATCTCCAAATCTATTTACAGACCATCCAAAAATCTTGACAGCGATCTTTATGGAGATGATCTAGAAACAATAATGAAACAGAAAAGGTTGAAATATTTCTCTTTATTTTTAAGATTTTATAATAGAATAAAAATAATTTGATGTACTGGTACTATCAATTTTGGAAGGAAAAAAAGGAATTATTATTAAAAAGTCTGACCCTGGCCTGAGAGGGGTCTTATATCCACTGGTGTAGGATAGTATTTAAAAAATTATTGAGGTTACACTCACACATGATCTTTAGCAAATTTTCTCACTTCCTAGGACCCCCTTACTTTGGTCCTAGAACATTACGTACTTTATGGACGGACACATATCTATGAACAGAAATTAGCAGTTGGTTTTGTAACTTTGCTGCGATTTTATTAAATATATCAATCTGACCTTTGATTGTGTATTAGTTGAGAACACATTGTAAAAACCGATAACTGGTCTAAAACGGATTCATAAAACCGAATAAGTTTAACAAAAACAATATTAACTATCCTGAATTTTAGATAACTGAAGTACATGACACATAAAATATAAATATCACCTACCCCAGACCCCTCCCCACAGTGTTTCAAGTTCCTGGATGATGCAGTTCTGCTGTGGACTTTTTGAAATATGGCCTTTTTAACAGGAGCCATATTTGTCTCTAGTCTTTGTTTGTGTGATTTTGGGTTGGGGGGGGGGGTTACTTCAAAACACCAGATACATACCAAATATGACTATGTCCTTCATTAACTTGTATTTTATTCATTTGTTTTCTTAGATTTGTACCGGACAAGGATTTTGAAGGTACTGATAGAAACCGCAGACGGGAGGGTCCTGTTCAGTTCACAAGGGATGTCGAGGAAGATCCATTTAATTTGGATAGATTCATTACAGAAGCTAAAAAAGGCCAAAAAAGGGCAGCTGATGATTTGAGATCATCAAGGGACTATGATAGTAATAAAAGCACCAGTGGAAAAAAACGGAGAGAATAAAATAATCATAAAATGCATGTACTTTTATCTGTATGCTTGATATATGGGATTTTAATGAATTTCAATTGTGTGGATGGGGTCAACAGATTGAACTGTCATCTGTATAATGGAAAAATTCATATTGATCATGTTGAGCATGTTAAGCTTTACGGAATGGAGGTCATTATCGAATGTCTGTTTATTGGAATTATATTTTTTTCATAATTAAAAAAAAAAATTTTAAAAGTTACTGTGACAGAATGTTTGTGTACTGCTTGGCTGTTCATAATAAAGGAAAAGTTCTTTCAAGTTAATGGACTTAACAACTCTCTATCAATTTATACTATTAGTGAAAAATGAATTTTTAATAATAAAACCAACTGATATTCAAAGTCTGAATTAAATTTTCTGGAAGCTTTTACATTTTCTGAATGGTTTTAGATTTCTGAATAAATAAATAATTTTGATTATTCCTATGTATAATATAAGGGAATCATAAATTTTACAAATTTTGTTAAGATGTTCAAGTAATGTTGTTGGGCAGTTATTTCCTAGAGTAGCAACATTACAATTACATGCACCAAATACTACCATATATACTTGTGTATAGATTGCACCAGTGGATAGATCACACCCTTAGTTTGGGGTTGTCAAAGTGTTGTTTGGGTTTGACCCATGATAGTTCGCATCCCCTTAGTTTGGGAAGTTACATGGCCCTTTTTGAACATAAATGTAACTAATATTTCTTAAATAGACATCTCAAAAAGTTTCCATAAAAAATTGAAAACTGAATCAGTTTTCAAAAACTGTTATCTTTAAGAAATATTTTTAAAAAATGGATTGCCCTCTGCTCAAGCGTAAGGGAGAAAATGATTCTCTGACTTTTTGTCCAAACGACTCCTCAACTCAGAATGATAATAAGTGAAATTAATGGTAAGTGGATAGTCCACACCCGTGATTTGATAGGGTTTTTTGGTTGCTTTTTTTAAGTGCAACCTATATGTAAGTATAAACAGTATTTTTTTCAATGTTGCTACCATATTAGAAATTTTAAATAATTTGTTTATTTGCATGTTGGATACAAAAATCTAGGGGTTGAATATTGTTTGTGGAATACAAGAATATATAAATTAATACATTGAAACAAATGAAAAAGAAAATCTTGGTCTTGACACAATTGGGACTCACCAGAAGTGATACTTTTAAATTTTAAAGCATTTCAGATTGTGTAATTTGTTCATTAATCATTAAAATGACCAATTTCATGAAACAAAATCATGCTACTTGAGTTGTATTACAAAAATATTATTAATACACTAGTATTTTACAAAAATAGTATTAATTCACCAGTAATTAACAAAAATATTTTTGTGAGAAATAAGACTGGTTAGTGGTTAGACATGATTCACCTCAAACTAATAATTTTAAATAATAGTAACAGGTCTTTCTAGTAGTAGTAGTTATATTACACATGCTTCCATGAGAAGACCCAATTTAATAAGATGATATAAGCCTAATATTCCAAAGTGACCAAAGTTTACTAATTTTTCTGATTTCAGATTAGAGAAACATATAAGAAAGGGAATATATGAATGTTTGTCTGATCCCCGATAATAAAGGCTCGCGCTGATAGGGTCGATATCTTTTTGTTTGATCCAGCTGCCATCACTACCATAGTGATTCAGCAGTCTTATTTCTGGACCAAATATTATCTGGATCTGGAACTGCGCATCTTTTGTGGCCTAATGATATGCCAGATTGGCATGTTGATAATTGTTGAATTGCAGTTTTAGAGGAAGAGAGATGGCGCTTTTAATTATAAATATGTCAATTTATATATATGACACAATTACAAAACAATACAGGTAATTAAACTGTTAAATATGTTTAATTGCTTACGGAAAAAAAATTCTTTAAAAGAATATCCTACTATAACTGATTAGTATTATTTCATTTAATATTTTAAATTAATTGCATTTTAATTCACCAGATTCAATTAGTTAACAAAAGTAAATACGAACACTGTTGGATGAGTTATGGAGATTTAAATTTTCACTTACGTAAATGTTTGGTCTGTTAATTATATATTAACAAGATAAGCCGCTTTTTAGACAACTTTCTCAAATAGTTCGACCAATAAAGAATTATTTCCAATCAAGCTGTAATTTACGTAAGATCGGTTTCATTGAATAGTATTTTCGTTAACAGTTTTTATTACCATTAAATCATATAAAAACAACATACATATTTACTCTGCACACTCACGTTGAATTCATGAATTTGAGGTAAGGGTAATTTCATTGATTCATAATTTTTCTACATATGTATAAATGTGTTGGCCATTTTGAAAGTTCAAGGTTCATTCTGAATAATGTAACAGTTAATATAATGTAAAATGACGCGTGCTCATCAATATTTTATATGAATGACTAACTAGAAATTCTGCGTTTCTCTGGCCACAATAAACCATCTGTATCTAAGATGGCGGGCTTTCGAGACCCAGCGAAGAAACATTTTCCACTTACTGACATTTCCTCGGTAATCAATCTTTTCAAAGAACAATTGGAAGGCCCCGATGAACCAAATCTTGCTCTTCTTTCCATTGTATTGGGTTGTATTGAAAACACACTGACTTTAAACAGAGCTATTTCTACCAATGAAGACGATAGGTTACTGAGGCCAATCTTTCCAGTTGTAGACTTGAGCACTGTGGACGCTTTGTATACAAAGTTTGAAACGCTGGTAAAAGGTTCTGTGGATCTTACAAAATATACAGGCACGTTCTCATCAAGAGAGCTTGTTAAGAAAATTTCTGATGTTATTTGGAGTTCGCTGTCTCGAAGCTTTAAAGATAAGGCTCATTTGCAATCACTGTACAGTTTTCTTACAGGTAATTGTTCTCTCCCCACAGGGGAGATAACTGTCTTTACTATAACTATAATGTCTATAGACTATAAGTAGTATAAAAAGGTAACCTTTGTCAATTTGTGCAAAATGTTTAAACTAAATGTTGAAGTTAAAAACTAAGCTGTTGGACCCTATGCTGCCCCCCCCCCCTTTTCAATAATATGTATATCAGACTGAACTCATTTCCAAAGATAACAATTTATATTGTAATTCTATATCTAGAATAGAAAACATTGACTTGTAATTGTAATTGGAAAAGGAAAAAAAGTTAGGTGACTCATAGTCATGGTCTTAGACTTGAGACAATAGAATAGACAATTAATAAATACAATATAAATATATTTTTAGCTTGTGATATGATATCGGCCTATAAATTTAAACATCCTGTTTTATGAACAAGGATGTTTGAAAAACCAAGATTTGATTTCAAATGTTTAATTTACAGTCATTGTTGAAAAACTATAATTGTTTCATTTTAAATTTTCCAGGTAACAAACTTGATTGCTTTGGTGTTGCCTTTGGTGTTGTAGCTGCTTCCCAACTGCTTGGTCGAAATGATATCCATTTGTCTTTATCAGAAGATCATGCCTGGGTAGTGTTTGGTGAAGATGGAACTGATACAGCGGAAGTCACTTGGCATGGTGCGTTTTTTTCTCAAATAATTTACCTTTTCTTCATATCTGTATTGCCTTGGCCTTGTAAATGACCGTTGAATGTTCATCCCCTAGATAAAAAAAAGATCCATAACTGCAACCAGCTGTTTAAAGTTTATGGTTTATCTTTCATTTAAATTTTTCTTTTTTTAAAAAAAAATTGGGTTAGTTTTTATTCATTTAAGTTTAAGCTAATTTTTTTTTAATGAATGTATCTTTTTTTTTGACAGGTAAAGGAAATGAAGACAAAAGAGGTCAGTCTATTGCTCTCAGTGTTGCAGAAAAATCATGGCTCTATCTTAATGGCCACCCTGTCATTTGCGATCGCAACATGGAAGTGGCTGCTTTGGTATCCGCAGCTAATCCTTCTATCAATATGATGACAGATAGTATTGAAATGGGAGCTCTCCAGCAGGTTAGTTAGCAAAATTCAATTTATATCTAAGAACATAAAGCCAATAGGCAGCTTATTTATTAAGTTGGGCCATTTCCCCCTTTGAGGTTTTTCAGGTGTGGATGGTGATTGCAGGTTTACGCTGTAGGGTTTTTATTCTTCCAAGCACCGAAAAAACAAAGACAGTAATAATTTAACTCAGGTACAGAATTGTTTACTGAAAATGATTCTTCTCAGTCCGTTGAGACATGGCACACAGCCCTTTAACAATGTGCCATGTAATGCCATGCAGGTCATCATTTAATTTGCTTTACCAGGGTGCAGAACTTAAGCACATTATGGCTGTTTCTTTTGTAATTTGTTTAGGTATAGCTTTTTCTAATTTTTATAAAGATTGTAAAGTGATCACAGGCAATCAATTGCTATGCCTGCGTTGTATTTTCAAGTTTAGGACATTTACTGGTGCTTATGTGCCAGAGTGTCTAAGGACGGTGCTCAGAAAACAGACGTGAGTTGGCTTAAATGTGAAATTGTGTCTGTGCACAGTATAATTATTCAGGTAAGCAAAATTCTGCACCCATGCTGGAACTAGTTGAGTGAAGGATGAATAGGAGAGCTTGATTCGCATTTATTGAATTTTGTGTGTGGAACTTTTCTGCTCAGGAGTCTGACTACTATTATAGTTAGTTGTTGTTTGCATATGTTAAACTATTTGCAGCTATTTTTTCTCATCTCTAAATTTTGAATTTAAATATTCTTTTCTAGGAACTGCTTTGGCTCCTTTATGATAAAGGTCATCTATTAAAGTAAGAATTCCATTTAACTTATACTGATTCTTCATGTCATATTGCAGTGTTTCTCAACATATTTATTTTTTAATTTAATGTTTTACAATCTTTTTTTTTTTTATATATACTTTTTAATAAAGTCAATTATTCACATGAAAAAAAAATTATTATGCTGTCATAAATTGTTTCATTGGTTAAATTAGCCTTAAAAAATAACATAATATTTCAAAATTTGAAATTACTATTGAAAAATAATTATTGTTTAAAAATTATCTGCGCGAGCAGCTCTTCACAACATTGTGGATTTCCGACAAAATTAATAATTCTACAGTCACAAAATAATTTTCTTGTAATAATGTTGTCAAATGATATTAATTTTGCAATTTATGAGAGAGTTATTTGTTCTTCTGAATAAATATACCAAGAAGGAGACTGATCATAGAATTTATTTTCCTATTTGGATAAAGCAAAAGCATAAAGCTATCTTAAACAAGTAAGCTTCACAAATTAACTTTAATTATTATTTCCTGACTTAGAAATTCTTTATAAAAAAAAATGAGTTTTAGTTTTATAATTTTACTTGTCTCTACATATTTTTGTTGAGTTTCAATAAATTTATAATATACAAATAGATATTCCAAGATAAATATTTTTTTTTTAATGGTGGAAAATATAATGATGGGAGGGTAGTTATAATAAATGTAAAGTTAAGGACTTTCCTTTATTACCTAAATATATTTGTTTAAAATGTAAAACTTCTTTGAATCATCTTCTTAATTTGCTACTATTGCATTGTAGAAATGTGTTTAAATTTAGCTATCACTAGTATTAGAGATGACAGAATGACAAACAAAACATTTATGTTTTTTTATTAACAGTTCAGTGACTCAAATGATGCAGAGAATGAAACTATAAACCCTAATTTCTTATTCAGCCTAATATAAGACCTGTTCTCCCGTTACTGTTACAGTGTTATAAATTTAGGTTGAAACATTTTACCCTAAACACAACCGGTGGTAAGTATTTTTCTAATCTCTTGGTGCCAAAAACCTACAAAGAATGGTCACAATATTTTAATATATAGGGTAATAATGCATTTTCGATATACGTTTGTTTACTTTCATACTAATTTAGTCGTGCACTGGTAAAAGTGTTATTTTTTTAATTAATAATCAGTCACACTTTTATTTCACAGGTTCTTTTTTGAGTGAATGGTCTGCAATGAAGTAATATGTTACCTATTCTCATGTGGATATCAAGTCCAGTACAAGCTCTTATAACAAAAATTCATAATAGTTTTCAGAAATAATATTTGTTTATTGTGCGTAAATATACTTGTGTTTGTACACTGTAGTTTGTAGGCTTGTGTTACTTGAGGATTATAACAAGGATATAAAGGATATATTTGAATATATGGGGAAAAGATAGATCAGATGAGAAGGCAATGCACAGTATTGGGAATAAATATCAAATTCAGCAAGAGTGTACCGAATCATTTTCATTTTAGCTACTGTGAGCTCAAGAATTTCCGGTATGTCACAATATTTGAAAAAAAACATTATTTTGGTGTTGAAGTATTTATAGTAACATCGCAAACCTCTCTGAAACATAGGAGCCAGAATGATCAATTCATTGATCGTGGGCCCTTAAAATAAAGAAGAAGAAGATATGGTTATCAAAATTTGCTCAGTTATATTTTCCTTAAAATTGAAGGATTAACTTAAATTGCCAAATCTTTGAGGCCCATTTTTAAATAAAACTATATACAATCCATACATTTTCTAAAAATAAAATCTATATGCCACATTTATAGCACAATTGGAAAAAACATAGGTTTTGTTTAAAAAAAATTGTACAACTTTTTTCTTTGTCATAGTATGTTTGTCTGACTATGGTTTGTATCAGATGATGAAGTGTTTTATTCTAAGAATTTTTATACAAGGATTTTTTTCATGTATGCTGTGAGAAATTTTTTGTCCAATTACACTTGTAATTGTTTTACAGAAGAAAAAAACGAAAAAAACCTCCAATATTATTTTGTGAATGTATTTTATTTCATCTAAAACATTGTTGTACCAGATTATCTTTTTAAAATAAATTTTAATTTAATATGTTTATACGTTGTTGTTTTTTTTAAAAAGTTATTTAAAGAAAAAAGAGTTTTAAAAGCTTGTACTTGTACAGGTGTCCACTATCTAAGTGGAAAAAAAAGTTAATTATAAACTACAGCTAACTTATTTTAATTCTGCTTGTCAAATTTACTTAATTATTACTAGAAAAACTTGCATTTTTGTTCATTAGCTCGTCAAATAATTCAAGGTGAAAAAACCCTTCTATCTACCTTATAACTTATGTGTTCATTACTATATTTCAGGTATCCCATGGGTTTAGGTAATCTTGGAGATCTGGAAGAAATCTCTCCAAACCCCGGGCGTCCACCACCTTTGGCAATATTTCAAGAGGCAATATCTTCTGCAATCAAGTATTATGACAACCATCATGTGTATCCATACACATACATGGGTGGCTATCTGTACAGGAAAAGACGTTACAAGGAAGCCATTAAGTGTTGGGCTGAGGCTTCTAATGTTATTAGGAAGTAAGCTCTTTCATTTTTAATAAGAAATATATTCAAATTAGTACGTATAGTATCAGATTATGTAATAACCTTGGATTAGAACTCAGATATTTTTTAAGGTGATATTTCACCAGCCATGTTTTAATATTTAAATTTTAGGATTAAATGAAGCAAAGGAGGTCAGTAACTTGATTAAAAATATATATATTTATTTCTGTTATGTTGCTTTATATGTTAATTTTTTTAAAAATTATAAATCACTTACAATTTTTTTTCCCTTAGATTTAACTACACCAGAGAGGATGAAGAGATTTACAAAGAATTTTTAGAGATTTCCAATGAACTCATTCCAAATATTGTGAAAGCTGTATCCTTAAACACTACAGATCGGGTTCAAATGAACATCTTGTACAATCCTGAAGTTTATGGAGATATTCTGCGATTCTATGATGGGATATGCGAGTGGGAGGAAGGAAGTTCAACGCCAGTGCTCCATGTTGGATGGGCACAGCACCTAACATTCTCTCTCAACAAATTTGATCCTAGAACTAGAGCCAAAATTGATGTTGGCAAAGATGAGGATGAAGATGGTGAAAAAGAGGAAAATGATGAGAATGATAATGAAAGTGAAGCAAGATTAAAGGAAGAGTTAAAAACAGACAATCGAAACAAACTTTTACAATCAAAAGAGGGTAAAGATCCTCTTAAAACTGTGCTTGAAGATTTAAAGAAAGAAGATTCATCGTATTTAACACAGTCAAACCTTGCTGGTCAGCGTGTCACAGCTAAAAACCGCAAAGGTCAACGTAGACGCAATTCAAATGCTTCTAAGGACATCAGTACTAAAGTATCTAAAGATTCATCCAGAAAAGGAAGTATTGATGAAAGTAGTAAAGTTGAGGATAAATTAAAATCTAAGATTGAAGAGTTGGTCAACAAGGTTGGGCAACAAGAAGGTTCACAGGATGCCACCCCCAACCCGAACATCACTGCGCTTGCACAGCAGTGTAGTCTCAGCATTCTTAATAAAGATTATCTTCTTGGTGCCGGTGAACCTTTCTCTACATCTCCTGCAACAATATCCACATCAGTCCCGGCTGATGAGACTTACACAACTACTTCTAATACAACAGGAAATTTCACAGGCCCAGATTCTAGGCTGGATGTGGATGAATTTCTAAGTTCAAAATCCAATGGCACAGCTTTTATTGGGTTGACAATGGATTCTATGTTAAAGGCTGAGAGTCCTTCTGATTTGATGCTTGCCATTAAAAGATCTGATGATGCAGCCCGAACAGCTCCTCTAGCATCCCCTTCCCCCTCTCCTACTGCTGAAATGTTGGCTGCCCTGGGACCAGTTTATGTTGAGCTAAAAAGTGAGAAGATGAAAGGGTTGAAAAAGATGTTTAAGTCTGCAAAACTTAATGCCAGTGCTATCAAGCTTCAGCTTACAGCACAATCACAAGTCCATGTTAAAGATTCCCGGTTTTTAGATTTTTGTGAACCAACAGGATCTGCACGAAAACGGCCAAGGAGAGAAATAGTCTAGGAAATAAATTAGTGTTATTAAAAACATGTTCCCATTGTTTTAAAAGCACATGTGTGCACTATAAATTTATTTGCATTAGGATTCAAGTGTTCGCTTTATTTGGTCTTGTCAAAAGTAATTTTATTTAGCTCTTTTATTGTAGATAAACTTCATTGAAGCTCCATCTATGAGTATTAATGGAATTAATTAGCCTGGGCTTTAAGCTGCAATTGTCAGAACAAATATTTTATCATATATTGATTTATTGGTTACTGTGAGCTCTTTGAAACAAAGTTGTTAAAATGTCTACAACCATATTGTTGAATTATTATTATTTTTTGGGGTTTAATTTACCTGTTCAATGTATAAATGTTCATTCTTTGTTATTTTTACCACAGAACATTTTGTTGTTACAAATGGGCTTTCTCAGTAGATAAGTTAATGTTATTATTGATTTAGAAGAGGTATTAGTTATTACTTGCACATCTTGTTTATAAACTGTTTTAATTGTGGGAAATCACATTTAAGCTAGCAGAAATTTAATGTCAGAAGTCATCAAACCAAGTCTGTTTGGCATTGCTTATTAACAAATTGGTCAAATGATAATTCTGCATACCAAATTAAATTTTCAAGAATTTATTTTTTTTGCAACTAAACTTATTATGCTACAATATTATTGGATAATTGTTAATGATATCCAGTAAACATGGAAATTATGATCATTAAATTGATATCCAACTATTGCTTTCAATATGGCCTAATGCTCCCCACCCACTTCATAACACAAAATCTTTTATTGGGAAACACCTAATACTTGAAAAACAATGAAGTTAAATATGTATTTCTTGACGAAGAAATGAACCGTTTAAAAAAAAAAGTTAATGCTGTAAATATTTATGTTGCATCATTATGTTACAATTTGTACATATTTATGTTGAAACATTATGTTAACGTCCAAGTCTTGTCAGCCCGGTGCTCTTCTCTTTATGAACATCATCTGTTTTTCTCAAAACTTGAAAGTTCTGAAATTATGAGTTATAGTATTGGTAATATTTCTTCAAATTTTGAAATGATATTTTTTGTGCATTTAAATATATCTAGCTAATATTGTTATATTATGAAGTAATGTTGTTGGTGAAATTTATGAAAAAACTGCTTTAGAGATAAAGTATATACCAGTATATAAAATAACAATGTACATGAATTTGTCAGTTTTATATTTAAAATAATTTGAACATTTTTAAACATTTTCTTCAATTGTCATCTTCCAGATTTAAGTTAGATACTAATGATAACAACAGCGTTTTCCTTGAAGCAGACCTGTTTACCCCTGGGTTAGTGTCAGACTAGTTTTAAGCTCACCAAAACTGGGGGGGGGGGGGGGGTTTCAGCGAGGATGGGGGTATTGCAATCATAATAGATGTTGTGTAAGGAAATCCACATAACTCACAATAATTGCTTATACATTTAACACAAGTAATATACAGGTTACCGTCCTGCGATTTGTTTCTTAAGGATGAGAAAAGGTCTTGGGCAAGCACATTGGCAATTAAGTATTATCAACGCGATTCTTTAAAAGGTAATATTTTGATGTAAAACACCGCCATTTTTTTTTTTTTTCTTGAAATTATACCAAACAAACTTAAAAAAACTCCTGAAACCATAGTTTTTTTAAGGCTAGCCGTAGTCTAGGATTAAAAACATAGTTATCATGGTAAACATAGGGGTAAGCAGGTCTGCTGAAGGTTCTTTTTTACAACATCAATACTATAGTTAAATCTGTTTGGTCATTTAATACTATTCAAGCTTTTATATTTATTACTTAAAATACATTTGATCAGATTTTGTTAGGGCTTTGTAAAGACACTACTTAGTATATTTAATAAGCAATTATCTTTACCGGTAGTCCAGATCTTGTTAATGAGTAACCATTTTTATTTTCATCTTCAACTTGAATGATAGTTATTGATAATTTTTATTGTTCTAAATTAGAGTTCTAAACTTAGCGCGTTTAATTTTTAAAGGCATTTCAAAATGTATACTGAAGATTTAAATAGTATGCCCAAAAATGAAAGTTAAATGTATATTCATATTTAAACAGAACTTTATTCAAATTTATTTTTGTGAGCTCTATAGAAATAATTCTATTTATAGTGGGGTACCAGGTATACTTTTTTCTTGCTGAATATGTCAAACTGGATTTAATTTTAAGATTTAAAAAAAATCCAACTCTCTCTCTCTCCTTGTCTCTCTCTCTTTTCAGTGCTTGTCAAAAATGCTCTTAAAGGACTAAAATACCATACTGAATGTTATTTTTTAAAATAAATTAATTTGTTTGCTCTTCACCACTGCATTAGTTAGTATGGTATTAAGCTCTCTTCTACATAATACCTTTTCTAAATGTTCATTTTTATATGAAGAATTCTATTATTAACATGTTTTTTTTATATCACTTATGATATAAAGGAATAACTAGAAACTATTTTAGGGTGTTTCACTTGTACTTTCCTAATCTTTTTTATTGTACACCATGAAGTTGGGGAATTAAGTTGAAAATCATCTGTATTTTATTCTTTTACTGATAAATCCTACCTTTATACTATCTGCTGATAACTGAAATGAAATATGTGTGTGGTTTAAATTGTTTGGATCACACTTGGTGTTAAGTTACCTTTGCTTAGAACAAAAAAGTAGTAAGAGACTCTTTGTTTAGAGAACCTAAATTCTAAATATTAAAAAGGGGGTCTGTAAATTAACATTTCAACTTAAGTTGCTAAATATATTATTCTCCAAGCCTGTTACCTTGTTTAAATTTTGTTCTCAGCTGGGTTTGTTCGTTTATTTATTTAACCTTCTTGTACTGAGGATTTTTTTCCAAGTTAAAAATTTGTTTTCAAAATAAATTGCAAAGACATTGCCAATATGAAACATTTTTATCTTAAAACAAGATCAATGATTTGAAACTGTAAGTACCTGGTAACTGTAGTTTTTGATTTAAAACTAAAGATTTAAGTCCTATCAGTTATATTATAAACAAAATTATGCAGTTTTCTATTGGAATTTTAACATTTAAAAGTTGTACACATTTTTATTTTTTTTATTCAATACACTTTGAGTGAAAAGAAAATGTTAGAAATATTCTTTCACAATATTATTATTTACTCTGATTTTTGTCTGTTGGTAAAAAAAACTTGTTTTTTTTTATCCTGGAAATTACTGAAGATATGGCTGCAAGGCAATACATTTTGACAATTAAGTACTTGCTGAATTGTTAATTTCTTAAAGGCATTTATTGACATTCTACATTCTTGTTAAAAATCCCTATGACTATATCAATGTGGTAATTATACAGCTGGTTACCATTACATGCTTAGGGCATAAGAGTTACATTGAGGATCAATTGTACTTTACACAAGGGTTGAGCCAGGCCCTGACACAACTATACAGAAATGCAGAGTAATGCCCACCCGAATGAAACCCCCTGACCCGGCCAATGTAACGGAACCAGGTATGGGTGTAGAAATAAAATTATATGTGTATTATTTAGCACAATTGAAGACATTAATGTTAAAAGTACTTACGTCCCAAAATGCAAATTTTGAGATAATCAAGCTCAAATATTATTTTTTATCTATAAAATGTTATCATTTTCATATTTTGTCTTGTTTAATTAAGGGACTTGTGCACACTTTATTGTGTTAAATTTCTGCAGTACACTTCACTAAAGAAAAGGTTTAGCAAAGTGTGCTGCACAGTTTAGATTGATTTTGACAAAAATGTGACTTAAGTACTTTCAGCACTAGGGTTTTCAATTTCTAGTTCCAGCCTTCTGATGAATCACATAGATACAAGTAATAATATAAAATTAATTATCGAAACTTAAAGTAAGTTATATGAAATTGCAAAGTTATGACAATAAAAATGGACTTGTGAATTTTGTGTGATTTTTTTAACTTGGCAAGATGCATATCTTTGTTTATTATCATGACACTTCCTGTTTATAATGAATATTTCCTTTTACATGCTGACTGATGATCCTGAGTAGCCAATGTTTTTTAAATATCATTTCTAAGTTCTGCCATTGAATTCAAGAACAGTAATTTAACATGTGAAGAAATGGATAAAATAGCAGCGCCATGATGATGATATAAATGTTAATTTTAAAAAAACTATGCTTAGATTGGTATACGGAAAATCAAAACTAATATTAACCAGGGGACAACAGCATTCAAGCTTATATCGCAGCTCTGCTCCAGATTTTTGTAATGTTTATGTGCTGTGGTTATGTGCTATTAAGTTTGATCCATTCTTCATTACTGGTTCTATACTGTACAGGCAGTTTTAACTTTTCCCCATGGGGTGGAACACATTTCTCATTTTCTATAGATAATTTCTGAATTGTAATTCCAGGTCTCAAAATGCACCCGGCCCTTCTTTAAATATTTTTTTGTGTGTGTTCAAAACGAGTTTATGTCAAAAGATATTATTACTAGCTTTATTTTCTTGAAATTTTTAGGTTGATTTGAAAGCCTTAAGTTGGTCTTAATTAAAACTAAAATCATTAAAAATTGTGAGTTAAATACTAATGTCATACTAAATTAGTATACATTCTGATGTATTATAGATAATAAAGTTATAATTTTATTTAGTGTAATGTCATACTTAATATATTCATACGTATTTCTTTGAATCACCAGATACCTATCAAAATATTCATTTGAATTTATTTCAATTTCATGCTCCATAGCAGATAACGATATTTAAAAGTACCATCAGTTTCTATCATTAAAGAGTTTATATTATTCTCTGATGATTTTACAGGCCCTGAGGCGAATACTTTTTTTTCAGCTTCAATAATGTCAAGTTGATTTTGTTGTAGACTAAATTATCTGTGATATAATTTCGATTTTACAAATATGTGGTTGACTTTGCCACTTGTTGCCCATAATTTTTTTTATGTTGTTATCTGAGTGCACTGGTTAGTTTTTATGTTCATTGCAAATTTCTTTTAGTTTTAGTGCAAAAGGAGAATGTAAATTTTATTAATCTTTTTTGTTGATCTCATGAATATGTAAATCTTTACTACTTCACAAAACATGTCTATGAAGTAGTAAAAAATAGAAGGTTGCACAATGTTATACTAGTCTATTTTAGTTCAAATGCATTTCAATATATCATTGTAATTAAAAAAAACTTAAGCTTAGCAGAAGTCTGCTAAGGAATGCTAGTAGTCATGAAAAATATATATATATTTTTTTTAATTTTAGTTTGAGCTATTTATGGCTTGTGTTGATGGTTGGATAATATATGG